GGGAGGGGGGGGGGGGGGGAAGAAGAGAATTGGCCAGTGGGGAGCGGGGCTGGCCTGGGCGCACGCAGATCCCGGGGTGCTGCCCATCCTGCATGCAGTCCCAGCAGGGCAACAGCAGCTGAATCCGGGACAGCTGGGGTGCTGCCGGGTTGGTCCCGCAGCCCCGAGGGGCAGTGCTACTGGACCTACCCGGCAGCACTCCAGCTGTTCTGCCCCCTGCTTCCCGGATTCATCGCTGGTCAGTTTTAGCAGCAGCTGAATCGGGGAAGCTGGGGGCAGAGCAGCTCCAATGGTCCGGCTGCCCGGAGCACTTCCGGGTTCCTGATGGTGCCGGACCATCAGGAGTGCCAGACCATCAGAGTTTTACTGTATTATTGATAATTGACATGATGATTAATCACAGCATAAATTAAACATTGTACTCACACACTTAAGTTAATGGGACTTCTGCTGTTACATCTTTTCCCACATTTCTTTGAAGTTTACAGCCCTGACCACCAGAGCAGCCACAAAGCAGCTGGCTTCAGGTGAGCAGCTGCCCACCATGTGGCAGCTGCTGGAGCTGAAGCCATCTGCTGTGCAGTGGCTCTGGGGGCTGGGGTACTCCCCAGGCCTCTGAACCGCACCACAACAGCTGGCTTCAGCCCCAGAACTGCCACAAACAGCTAACTTCAACTCCGGCAGCTACCAGACACACACCTGGGGTATACCCCAGTCCTATGGGTGTGGCATGGCAGTGTGTTGCAGTCCAGCAGTTGGAAACTATTGATCTAACATATCTTATCAGTATCTCCATTGGGGAGGGCAGTAACGAGAGTACCCGTGACAAAAGAAAAACACTAGAAATAATTTCTGGCCAACAGTATCACATTGGGTCAAATTCTCTTTTCTGAATAGACCATTCAAGCATTGAAGGAAACTGTGGGTGAAGCACTGCCCACAGCAAGGGAGCTCTCAGTGTAAAAATGGCAAAGTTGGATTCTGGACCAAAGAGCTGTTGATTCCAGTGTAGAGGGTGCTTCAGAGGGAGACAGTAAGATGGAACTCTGCTGATTCTCATATGAAATATGGGTTCCTAGAGAGGAATACGACAGAGGTCTATAAAATCATGAATGGTGTGGAAAAAGTGAATAAGGAAGTGTTATTTACTCTTCTCATAGCACAAAAATCAGGGGTCAACTAATTAAACAGGCAGCAGATATAAAAATAAGCATAAGGAAAAACTACTTCACATACTGCAGTCAGCTTGTGAATCTTCCTGCCAAGGGAGGCTAAGAAGGCCTAAAGTATAACTCGGTTCAAAAAGAGAATTACATAAAATTCATGGACGAAGGGGGTCATAAATAGCTACTAGGCAAGATGATCAGGGATGCAATTATATGCTCTGAATGGCTAAGCCTCTGACTCCAGATGCTGGTAGTGGATTACATGAAGGTTTTGCCGTTCTGTTCATTCCCTCTGAAGCAATACCATTGGCCACCATCAGAAGACAGAATACTGGGCTCGATGAACCAGTATAGCCAGTGTTCTGACTATATATTGCCAGCACATGTTAAAGCAGCCCCTTGGTTATTCTAAAGCCAGGTCTACACTAGATATGGCAGCTCGGCTTAAGGCAGTGGTTTCCAATCTTTTTACGCTGAAGAGCATTTTTATATATGTCAGGGCAAGCCAAGATCTGCCCCACCCCTTCCCCAATACCCCACCCCTTCCTTGAGGCCCTGCCTGCTCCTTTCCCCTCCTCTATCACTTGCTGTCCCCAGCTCTTACTCACTCTCACTGGGTTCAGGTTGGAGGTGCAGGGGGGAAATCTGGGTACAAGAGGAGGCGGAGAAGGGGATGCTGGTTCACGGTGGGGGCTCCAAGCTGAACCAGGGATGAGGTCAGGGCTGGACGGAGGCACGGGCAAGCCAGGCAGCTGCCATCAGGAGCTGCGCGCCTGGCTCCGGACAGCTCACCCTTGCCCCTATGGCTGCGGGGCCATGCACAGCCCAGCGTGTGTGCTAGCAGCACTGGCCAGGTCGGGTCAGGCCGGGCAGCGCATGCATCGTGCACCTCGGGGGCGGGCCCGTGCACCCTGGGGGGGGAGGGTCAGGCCTGCTTCCCACGGGCGGGCCTGTGCACATGCCCTGCGCCCAGGGGTGGCGCCACACGCCCGGGCCTAGGGCGCCAAAAGGGCTCGGGCCAGCACTGAGTGAGGTAGAGGGTTGAGGTGCTGAGAAAGGTACAGGCTTGTGGATGTGGGGGTGCAGGAGTTTGGGATGGGATATATGAGAAGCTCGGGGCAGGTAATATGATGGGCTCAGGACATAGGTTTGCAGTGTGTGGATGGCGTAAAAGCGTTGTGGCAGAAGACGTAGGGATGTGGGAGTGCAGGAGTTTGGAGGTGAGAGGCTCAAGACGGGGTTCGGGTGTATGATGGGCTCAGGATTGGAGTCTGGGGAGTGCAGGAGTGATGCTGCAGCCAGATAGCCCAGGCTTCATTTTTAAATAAAATATTACGTCCAACACAAAACGTTTCAGAATTGTCTTTATTTATGGGATGGTCAGGAAACCTGTTTTGGGTCAGGGATCACTGACCCACAGTAAAATCAGTCGGGACCACACAAGTGCGATGCAAAAAAAACAACCCCCCCCCCCAAAGCCTCACTGAAGTGGTCCCAACTAAGACATCTCACTCCCCTGGAACTCCAACTCCACGTGGGGGAGGGGGGTAAGTAGCACTGAGGTTCAATGCCTCAGGCCAGATGAACTTTTCTGGGGTTCCAGGGTTAGTGGAATTTGAGGGCACCTCTACATTCTGAGGTGGGGTCAAAAATGAGGGATCCAGTGTGTGGGACAGGGCTGCTAGTGAGTGGGATAGGGATAGGGGACGCGGGGGCAGAATTTGGGTGGAAAATAGGGTACAGGAGCAAGCTGGAGGTAGGTGTCTGGCCAGGGGGCAGGAGCAGGATGCTCATGAGTGTCTGGCCAGGGGGCAGGTGCTGGAGGGGTTTCTGGCCAGAGGCGGGGTGCTGGATGGCAGTCAGGCCACAATTCAGGGGCAGGGTGCTGGATGGGGG